TGAGGCATTTATCCTGTAATTACTGAATGGCTCTGAGTCTGATGGTGTGTTAGCTACTTAAGGGAAGCAGTAGCCCATCAGATAAAGTCCTCAGTGGCTGCATTTTAGACTAAAGCTGGGTTGCATATAAAACTGGACAAAGGGAGGGGAGTGATGGGCCATGGTTTGGGGTGTGGTAATGCTCAGGGAATGAAATCAGAGAGGTCTCAGAGGAGTGTCTTTTGATCTGAAGGCCACCCCACTTACCATATCTCTCAATGCAGGCAACCCTCAGGGAGTAATTCTTTGGTCAGAAGACTTTCCAGGTGATTTGCTTGTGGAAAATCTGATTTCAGTAGAGATCCTTTAGACTTCTATGAGTCATCAAAGAAGAAATGTTGCAATTCCCTAAGAACTGGTTAGCCTTGGGGCATTGCACCGGTCTGGGCAACTGAACCACAGTATGTGCTGCTTTCACAAAATATACCTGTTAGCCTCTGTTTTGTCAAGTCCTCCAGTCTGTCTGTATTCCCTCAGTTTCCCTCTGGCCCACTGGAGATGTCCCGTGGTGTCATGGGTAAACCCTAGCAATGACCACCCGTGCAGAGCAGCTAGTCCTTCTCCTCCTGGCTTTGTTGCCCTTGGGGAGAGTGTGTCCACTCCTCTGCGCCCCCTAGGCCCTGAGAGCCACAGAACAGGAATCTTTTTGCTCAGACCTGGACTCACAGGATCTTGGAGGGTGCCTGCTCCACATGGGGCTTTGGAGTCAACATGGAAGGAAATATCCTGCATGGACTCTGCAGGTCCTGGAAACCTATGAAATGGACTTGACTTGAACAGTCTTTCTAAGTTTAGTTTCTAGGTGAAAGTGTATCATTAGTATATTGTTTGTTTGTTAACTTCAGACTTTCATGGTCTTGTGATTTTTTTTTTTTTTTTTTTTTTTTTTTCCTATTTCCTCCTGTGATCCCAAGATCCTTTGCTTCACTGTGGGGCTTGAATAATGTTTTACACCTTCAGCAGCAGTTTCCTCTTGCCCACCTCCCAGCTCTCTGATAGCATTGAATCATGCGCCTTGTTGATTTCTCCTTTACCCTGTAGCCCCCCTCTACTGCAGGAAGGGTCTCCCCAAACTGGGATTTACCTTCCTGCTATCCCCATGCATCTTCCCACGGGCCTGTCTTGCTGTCTTGTGCCTGGCATAGAGTCCTCTCTCTAGTGTGTAAATCCTTCTCATCTCCTGTGAGGATTTGTAGCCCTTATATCTGCCTTACAGCCGGGAGGAGTTAGAGGCCAGTGGAGTTAGAATGCTGGGAATCAGGGCTGTGCGCTGCCGCTGCTGCCTCCTTCCCATGCTCTGTGCTCACTGAGCTCAGATTGCTTTCAGGCCTGGGAGATACAGGTTTATACCTGCTGCTTGGCAGGGGCTTCTTCCCATTTTAGCATTAATTCTCTTCCCTGTTGGTACATCTAATGAGGTAGCACAGTTATGCCTTTTAGTTACAAGTGTCTCCTGTGAGCTTGCCTTCTCTTACTCTTCCTCGAATAAAATGATCATTAAGAAATGTGGAGCCAAGAGGTTTCCATAAGTCCATTTGGGGTTGTGAGTTGAGAAGTTACAGAACACTGGCAGTGTGCACGCTGGGCAAGCCCAGCCCTAGGAAATGGGAGAGTGAGAAGGGCTGGTGGTGTTCTCCTCCCCAGCCAGCAGCCAGCTCACAGAGCTGCCTGCCTGCCTGCCTGTTGGGGCCTGTGCTGGCTATAGCCTAGAGAAGGAATCTGGGTGAAGGTGGAGGGTTGTTTCGTGACCTTTGCCAACCAGCAATGTCAGAAACAGGCCAGCCCTCGCGGCAGTTCGGTTAATTTACCTGAGCGACTTGGCTTTTCCAGGACTTGAAAAGCTCTCTGTCCCCCTCCCTCCCGCCCTTCCTCCCCATGGCATGCTGGTTCCTGTGGAGTGACTGCCTCTGGTGACATTGTCAGGGCTGGTTTCTGGACGGTTTCACAGTTGGTGTTGGCTGGGTCAGCAGCAGCATCACAGCACCTATGTGTACTAATTGTCAAACGAGATCTGTTCATTCTTTATCAAGTAAATAATACAAAGGATTATTAAATGAGATGGATCAGCATATAAATCCTAGGTATGCAATAAGCAATAGATATCATTTGACCATGTTGGCTTATCTTTTTTTTTGTTTTTTTGTAGGACAGGGTCTCTCTATGTAGTTCAGGCTGGTCTTGAACTCACTATGTAGCCCAGACTGGCCTCGAACTCAGCCTCCTGGTGATCCTCCTGCCTCAGCCTCCCAAGTGCTGAGATTGCAGGTGTGCGCCACCACACGTAGCCTTTTTTTTTTTTTTTTTTTTTCATAAAATATCTTGTGTTTTGTTTTTGTAAGATGAGCCCTCACTGTGTAGCCCAGGTTGGCTTCAAACTCGCAGGGATGGCCCTGCCCCTCAGCCTTAAGAGCATTGGGATAGCAGGCATACGCTGCCACACTGGAGTCTGTCCCACCATGAGGACCTGTGCAGCTTTGACCTGCAGGCTCATTTTATTACTGTCTTCCTCTGCAGGGAAAATTCCAGAATCTTGAATTTGAATCTGGGAAAGCAATTTCACGGCGCCTGCCACTCCTCAGGCACAAATGCAGCAAAGAGCCAGGGGCATTTTTCTCGCACACACATTACTGCAGCTGCCAAGTGCCAAGCCCAGTGACTTAAAGTTGTATTTCTAGTCTTGCTTAAAATAGGAATTTAGTTTCTATTGAGAAAGATCTACATTTACAGTATCTGTCCATTTTCATTGTATTTAGAGACTTATCACAGTATGTATTTAGTTCATTTGTCAATGAAAATAGTTCCTTGGCAGAATTACCACATTGCATATAGGTGGTCATTTACAAAAGAACCAAATTCTGTTGTTTAATTTCATGACAAAATACAGTGATTTTTTTTTTTTTTTTTTTTTTAAACGAGGGTTTCCCCAGTAACTTACTTCAGTGGAAATAGTGTTGATTTTGCAGTAAAAATTGTTGGAAAGCTCTCTGTCCCTCTCCTTTTTGTGTGTGTTACTGGGGATTGAACTCATGGCCTTGTGCTTGCCAGGCAAGTGCTTATTCTACTGAGCCATCCCCCCCCCAATACATGATTTTTAACTGCATGATTTTTAACTTCCCATGTAATTGGCTTTTGGGAACATCAGTGACCCTCCGGTAGATTATTTTCTTTCCAGTTTTACTTACAACATTTTCTCAGGTAGTCACACTTGTAAAGTTTGGGAGAAGGGGGAAGCAGCAGTTTGGGAGTCGTTTCTTTGCCCTTGGGGCATCTACATGGAAGATGATCAGTTTGAGGGTGGGAAGTGTCAAACTTTACTGCAGGTAGGAAAATGTTTGACTTTAAGGTTTGTTATAAGCCAGAGTGCTTGAGGGTAGCTGTTCCTAAGTTTGAGAAAATAGCTGGAACCGGGGATTGAACTGAGATTCTTGCATTTGCAGGTCAAGCGCTTATCCTACTGAGCCATCTCCCCAGCCCCATTTTTTTTTTTTTTTAAAGGTTTCAAAAATTTATTAATTCTATAGTACTGATCACAGAGGAAAAAAAATAAGATTCCTGATTAAGTATATTCCACTGTCCAAGCAATAGTTATTTTTAAAACTTGATTCAGTATTGTCTTGACCACAATTAAAAGAAGACACCATCTTGTGACCTCCCAGAGAGTAAACGTGCTGCAGCTCATGTGCAACTCCTTACAGTCCTAGCTTGGTCCTCCTCCAGTGTCTCCTCTTGGAGTTGTACCTGATTTTATTACCTGTCTTCATCTAAATCCACTGAGGAATGGGGCGATTCTGCTTTTGCTTCTTGGCCAGGGAATTGTTTTATTCTGAAAGTCTTGTGAGAAGACATGGTGAGGGTAGGCAAGAGCTTGCACTCGATGGCAGACTAAAGCAGAAAAGCTAGCTGACTTTTTTTCACTAGATTGACAACAATAAATTTAAAGCATGTTCTCTCCACAAAAAGTACCATGTCTTAATACCCTTGCCAGGGATTAGTGTTCAAGGAGAAAAAAGAATACTTTTCCATTTGAAAAATAGATCTCAAGCTGGGCGTGGTGATGCATGCCTGAAATCTCAGCACTTGAGAGGCTGAGGCAGAAGGATCACCACAAGTTCAAGACAAGCCAGAACTACATAGCCAGACCCTGTGTCCAAAAAAAAAAAAAAAATACATACATACATACATCTCAGTATTAATGACATCTTCTGGTCAAATATGGAATATGGCTGGTGACAACTGCATGGATTCATGGGTCTTAAAACGTGTTGTTGTTGTTGTTGGTTTTTTTTTTTTAATGTATTTAGTACATTAGGGTCTCACTGCACAGATCAGACTCCTAGTGATCCTCCTGTTTTCAGCCTCCCAAGTCCTGGGATTAAAGGCAGGCGCCACCACACCCAGTCTCAATCACAGTCTCAGTGGCTTTGCAGGCAGGCACTCCAGGGATCGAACCTAGGCTGCTGCCTAAGCAGGTGCTTTAATCTGCTGAACTATTTGTCCAACCCTTCCCTTTCTTTTCTTCTTCTTCTTCTTCTTCTTCTTCTTCTTCTTCTTCTTCTTCCTTCTTCCTTCTTCCTTCTTCCTTCTTCCTTCTTCCTTCTTCCTTCTTCCTTCTTCCTTCTTCCTTCTTCCTTCTTTCTTTCTTCTTTCTTCTTTCTTCTTTCTTCTTTTTTTTTTGATTGAACCCAGGCCCTTGCACTTGCCAGGCAAGCACTTTTTCTGCTGAGCTGTCTCATGGGCCCCTCCCTTTCTTTTCTGGATGTGTGGAGAAGTGAGATATGAGGTGGTAAAGGGTTTGTATTCAACTGACTTGTGATCAGAATTGCAAAATGTCTCCCTGAAAGTAGGCATTCAAGGGACAGAAAAGCACTTTCCTATTCCATGCCGCCTATTTCCTGTCCACAGTGTGTGGTGGACAGGCACTGGACACAGTGGTCTCTGACACTCTGTCCCTGCCGTTACAGCATGCTTGAAGATGACCTTCAACTCAGTGACAGCGAGGACAGTGACAGCGAACAAGTAAGCTTCACCCCATGACACTTAGAGTCCTGTGAGATCCGCCCCTAGTGTCGGAGCTGCTGTCCTAACCTGTTTTTTGTTCTTTCTTGGTCCTTCTTCCCCTTACTGTGAATGCCTAGACCCCAGAGAAGCCTCCTTCCTCAGCTGCACCTCCAAGGTACGGTCTGGGGTTTCTCCCTTCTGCCCAGCAAGCTCGCGTGTCTTTGCCACATGGGGAAGAAGTCTTCCGTGAATGCTTTCGCGGCTCCAGCAAGGGAAGGAGTGCAGTGCAGGGAGAACAGCAAGTGGCGTGCATCCTGGCCAGCGCAGGCCGTCACGGCACAAGCGCAAGTGCCCCGCACCCAGCACAGCAGCCTCTGAGAATTTAAAAACTAAAACACACTTGTTATCACTGCAGTATAAGTAGTATTTGAAAAGATAGGCCTAAGAGCCCAGTGTTTCTTTAAACTTGCTTTCAAAATTTTATAAACCTGAATTTCTAGGTAGAATTTGTTTTCTGCTTTGCTGGGTTGGGTTTTTTTTGTTTTTTTTTTTTTTTTGTATTTAAAAAAAATTTTTTTTTCATTTATTTAGTTAATTTTGTACAGAGTGTCACTATGCAGCTGGGACTTGTGATCTTCCTGTCTCAGCCTCCCTAGCACTGGGATTGCAGGTGTGCGCCACCACGCCTGGTTTTGGTGGCTAGGGTGGCATGTGGTACTGGGAATCAAACCTGGATCCTTGTGCTTGCCAGGCAGGCACATAAACTGCCAAGCTATCTCCCCAGTCCTATGCTGTGTGGTTTTTTTCGTTTGTTTATTTTGTTTTTTGTTTTTGTTTTTTGCTGTATTTAGAACAGGATCTACAGGGTCTCACTACGTAGATCAGACCTGGAGTAATCCTCCTGTTTTCAGCCTCCCAAGCACTGGGATTACAGGCGTGTGCCACCATGCCCAGTCTCAGTCTCAGTGGCCCATCTGAGCAGGCCCTAGGGGGTGGGGCCGGCTTGGCATGCCAGTGATTGAACCCCGTCCCTGTGCTCTGCCTCCGCAGGCGCTGTAGTCCACTGATCTATCATGCTGGCTCCTATGCTGGTGTTCTTTGTTACACGAATTTTTAAATTGTGTCGGCCACTTTAAAATCTGACCTGCAATTCGTTTTAATGTATAAGAAACATGACAGTTTTCACATTTTTGAAGAAGCCAGCCATATTTCATGAAATGTGTTGCTTTAAAAGTTTTGAAAATGGGAAGATCTGATATTTCCTTGTAATAAACTTAGTGATTTCACATGACAAATACCTACCTCTCATGGCTGAGAGGTTACTGTGCATCTCTGAGATGTGTTCCTGCATTGAATTAAGATAGCAGTGAAACCCTGGCCACCACAGAGGCGATGTAGGGAGGATGCCCCTGCAGTTCTACCTTCTTACAGTTTTGTAAGGCTTGCTATTTGTCTAGTCCCAGTTTGTTAAATATGGCAAGTTAGTCTGATTTAAAAATAAAAGAAAAGCTGGGTGTGGTAATGCAGTCCCGCAGTCCCAGTACTCAGGAGAAGTGCTGTGGGGTCAAGGCCAGCCTGGGCTGTCTCGCACGTTCAGAGGCACCCTGAACTGCAGGGGACAGGAAATGGAAGAACAAACCAAGGACAGTGATAGGAAAGCAGGAATCCAGTGGACAGCGTCCACTTGTGATGCCCTGGTTCAGACGCTGCAGTTGATACCACCACGTATTGTACATGGGCCCTGGATAGTGGTACAGTGAGTTTGTCCTAAGATTACCTCTCTGAGTCTTTTTTTTTTTTTTTGCGGAACCCGTGATGGAACTCAGGCCCTTGCACTTGCCAGGGCTTATTCTACTGAGCCATCCCTCTAGCCCCTCTGAGTCATTTTTTATATGCTATTTAATAAGAATTTATATAAGAAATAGGTTTGGTTTAAGATTATAGTTAATGCCAGGCGTGGTGGAACATGCCTATAATCTCAACACTCAGGAGGCTGAGACAGGAGAATCACTGTGAGTTCAAGGGCAGCCCAGCCTACATAATGAATTCAAAGCCAGCCTGAATTACATATTGAGACATTCTCTCAAAACAGGAAAGAATTTTGTGTTGCTTTAGCTAATAGCTCTGGGGCAGAGCTTTAAAATTGTTTTAAAATTCTCTCTGTGTCTAGTAGTGATCATCAGTATGCCTTCTTGTGGACCTGGTGTTCTGGTCTGTTCTTACAACCTGACATAACCGTGATTCCACTTGATAAGGAGATGGATTGTTTCTTAGCTCACTCTCCAAAGGCACAGGGTTTATATTTATAGTCAGTGATCTTTGGTTACCAGTGGTTAGTTCTAAGGTATAAACATCATTTATTTCTTTTTCTTATATACGGTAGGGGACTGTAGAGTTAAAGGGCCAGGCAAGTAATTATGTTGACATTTGTGGGCCACTCAGTGCTGCTCCGGGCACCCTACGAAGATGGGTATGGATGTTGTTCTGATCAAATTTTATTTAGAGAAGCAGGTGCCTTGCCTGCAAGCCCTAGGTAGCCTAGTCTCACACGCGGCTCATGTACACTTGGTATCCCACAGGCGTCTTTCCTAAGCAGTTCGGGATCAGTGTAAGGTCTTTTGCTGCTGTTTAAACCTCAGCGGCTCATCAGGCATTGCTGAGGCCCTTTTGAGGAGCAGAATAAGGCAGGGAGTAGCAAGCAGGCAGACTTGCCTTGCACCGCGGCTTCTCACTTTCCCCTTGGTTGTTTTGCAGTGCTGCACCGTTGTCGCTGCCCGAGCCCGTGGCCTCAGCACATTCCAGCAGTGCAGAGTCGGAGAGCACCAGTGACTCCGATAGCTCCTCCGACTCGGAGAGTGAGAGCAGCTCAAGTGACAGTGAGGAGAATGAGCCCCGGGACGCCCCCACTGCAGAGGTACTCTGTCCCCAGCTGGCCAGGACTGCAGCTGTGCCTGAGGGTGCTGTGGCTGCTCCTGTGCCCTCTGTTTACTTTTTTTTTTTTTTT